GGAGCAAGGTGAATGCCAAGGAGTGGAAACTGGAAACTAGGAGTGTATAAAAGGTAAAGGATCCCTTGCTCGAAAGCCAGTCAAATCCGACTCTAGGCTCATCTCTGTTTCAAAGCCGAAGAGCCAGCGCTGTCCGAAGACGTTTCTTTTGGTCATGTGGCTGGCATGATTAAACACCAAGGCGCACAGAATGCTGTTTCCTTCCCACCAAAGTGGTACCTATTTATCTACTTGCAATTTCTTGCTTTCGAACTGCTAGTTTGGCAGGAGCTGGAACTAGAGACGGGAGTGTATAGTAGGTGAATATTGTTATCCTGTGTGCTTAAATAGCATTTCCCCTTCTGCTGCTACCTGTTTTATATTTCTGACAGGCAGAATGCATCTCTCCAAAGGTCTGAAGGAAAGAGAACAAAGTTAGTTTCTGCTTCAGTTGGATTGCTACTGCTCCACCCCCTATTCCTTGTGAGATGGCACCCAAAGTCTCCATTTATCTGCCATGCATACCGAAATACCAAACGTTATTCTAAGTTCTCGGTTCACATTGCCATCCTTACTACAGGTGTACCATTATAAACCATTATATACTAGAGGTGCATCATTATAAAGTTCAGTGGGTATAGAAGGGTGTGACTTTTTTAGGATTGCACTTTTAGCATATGAAAATTACACAGTGCACAAATACTGCTACCATTTCTAAAAAGATGGCCAGTTTTGACTTATTAAGGTCTAAATTGTATTACATTGCCCCAAAATGTAAACTCACCTAGAATGCCTTTGGTGCAGTGAACTGTCTTCCCTGAATTCACAAGCTGCTAGTCTGTGGAGGTTATATATAATTTTTTTAACCTTTGGGAATAGTCTCTCAAGAACCACAAGGTCTCGGGAGTACCATCTGATAAGCAATTAAACTCCATTTTTTGTGCATTTTCTATTGTTATTTTCTTTTTTTAAAATATTTTTTATTGAAAATCCAAAAATAATACAAAATACATACTAAAACAACCATTCAAACAGTAACAAGTAAGTTAGCTCAAGATAAATAATACATCACCATTACAAAGGGATAGCTATCAACCGACAGTTTGCAACCATTATAACAGAGAGGAATCATGTTTTACCACAAATTTAAACTATTAATTATATCAAATATGAAATCCTGATGCACCAAATATTCAAGCAAAGGAAGCCAAATAATAGTAAAATTAACAGAAAATTTACAACAGTTCGCTTCATTAATCCTATCTGTAATTCTAGACATCATATAAAGTTTCCATAGCTTGGTGTGCCAGTGTTGTCTCTTTGGGCCTACAGTGTTCTTCCAAGAATAAGCCACTGCGTTTTTAGCCGCTGATAACAATAAAGATATACGTTTAACCGTATCAGAAGACTGAACATTAACTTGCCATCTGTTCAAAAAAATGTGTTCAACATTGTACCTCATAACCAGTTATAAGCTTTATTTGTTGCAAGACATCCTTCCAAAAACTTTGCAGTTTCGGGCACTCCAGCCAGCAATGTATATAATAACCCAGATTGCCACACTTCCTCCAACAAAGAGGAGAGGCTGAAGGCGTTCTGTGCCAGCTTTTGTAGAGTTAAATACCAGAAATTGAGGATTTTAAAAGTCTGCATACTAATTTAAAGTCTGCATACTAATAAGGGAGCGGTGGCGCAGGTAGTAAAATGCCTGCTTTAACAACACTCGAGCAGCCACTATGGCTGTTCAAGACCCACCGCGGTCAAGGTGAGCTCTCGACCCTAGTCCTAGCTCCCGCCCACCCAGCGGTTCGAAAGCAGATGTAATCTTAATGCGAGTAGATGAATGGGTACCTACCTTTAGAAGGGTGGGGGCACCCTCCTCTGATGAGGCGTGTGGAAGGCAACGGAGGCAACGGTGTCGGCGGCAATGGCGGATTACCGGTGGCAGAAGCGACGTGGTGTGGTGTGGCGATGTGATGGCAGCGAGCGGCAACAGAGGAGTGATCCCTGGTGGCCAGCGGCGGAAACAACAGACGGCTGTCGTGCAGCGGAGGCACGCGGTGACGTCATCCACAGGCGTGGCGGAGCCGGAAAGGACGCAGCCGGGGCCGGGGAAGGACGTGCACTGCGTGCCGGACCAAGCGCCAGAAGAAACAGCAAGTCAGCAGACTAGCAGGGTATATCAAATCGAACAAATAAATAAATAAAATAAATAAATAATTTATACTATGTTAGTACTAAAGGGAAAAGACTTCCAAATCTGCTGCCATTCCTCCGCATTTATGAAATGATCGATACCATTTTCAGAGACCATCTTGTTGTATGGAGCACTTTATTTGTCTTTGTTGTGACTTAATAGCTTTTAATGTTTTATATTGTTTTTATGTATGGGCTTGTGCCCCCGTGTAAGCCGCCCTGAGCCCGTTCGTGGGGAGGGCTGGGTAAAAAGGCAATAAATAAATAAATAAAAAATAAAAATACATTCAAAGTAATGTTACAGATAGCATGCCATTTTTTCTGAGAAGAAAGTAGAATAGAGGAGCTGTGGTCCTTTAATAACTTATACAGTTTGGCTATAAGATGTTTTCTAGTATGTTTCACAAAATCATAAAGAGCTTCAAATCCCATCTATGGATTGTTCAATATTGAAGAAAGTTTAATTTTTGCTGCCACATGAGAGACTTGAAAAAATTGAAACCAATTAATAGAAAAGCCAAGCTTCTGCTCAAGTTGAGGTTTAGTCATTATCCTTTCGTTTAAAGTAATATCTTCTAATTTAATATTAGCGTTCTTCCATTTCTGTTGATTTAGTGCTAAAGCATTTGTTTTAAATATTTTTTGGTTAAAAAGTGCATGAAACCTTTAGTTGCTTCCTATACTTTCCCCAGGTATGCAAAAACGTACAAAGAACCAAACTTTCTGAAATATGTTTAGGGCACTCTGAGGCTGATTGCCATATAATATCGTGTATGTCATAAGGATAAGTATAATAAGATTGCAACAAAATCCAATCTGTCTCGTTATGATCATAAAGCATCTTCAGGATATTAGATAAGTAAATTGCTTGATAATAGACCTGTAGGTCTGGGAAGCCCAAACCTCCTTGAGGTTTGCGTCTGATAGTAGCTTTATGTATTC